TTGTCTTTTGCTAATTTTGAACTTTCGCTTGCCCTGTCTAGAAGCCACTTAAGCCAAACCATGCTAAACCAACCTTCTAGCTTTGCTCTTGCGCTAAAATGGGATTTTTAGGCTCGCTGCCGGTGTGCTTGTTCACATACTCGTAGGTATGAAAATAGAATAGTTATACTAAAACGAATCAACAAAAAGGAACAACGGCCTTCGTTGAAAATGATTTAAGTAGAGGATTGATTTAATTGAGACTACCAGCGGATCTTATGCAACTGTTGCCAACGTACAAGGGAAGTTTTTTTTCCATTACCAGTCATGTGTTTGCATCGTTACCATAGAAACGAAACTTGTCTTTTTTACGGTTCTACCGGATGAACTTTGCTGCACTGAATGCCAAGCTGATTGCCCAGTGACCACCAAAGCGAGCGAAATATTCAAAGGAGAGAGAGAGAGGGAGAGAGAGAGAGAGAGAGAGAAAGAAAGAGAGAGAAAGAGAGAGGGGAAAGAGAGAGAAAGAGAGTGACAGAGAAAAAGGGAGAGAGAGAAAGAGAGTGACAGAGAGAGAGAGAGAGAGAGAGAGAGAGAGAGAGAGAGAGAGAGAGAGAGAGAGAGAGAGAGAGAGAGAGAGAGACAGAGACAGAGAGACAGAGACAGAGAGACAGAGAGACAGAGAGACAGAGACAGAGACAGAGATAGGGAGAGCTGGAACGAAAAAGCCTTTCTTGAGAAAAATATGAGTGAATGATTGCAAATGAACATCCTCAGATTCACATACGAATTGAAGTGTTTCCCTAAATTCTGGGACAAAGGGAATATTTGCATCTATTAATGCAATAGCAGTATGAGTGTTTTTTATTTAACTTATATATAATTGATGATATGTAACATGTAATCATCACATGATCACATCTTACATGTGCTGGGTCATCGATGACCCGTTCCCGCCCTAATAGGAGCGTTAGCAACTGCAAACTTACATCAGCCCAAAGCTTGTCAAGTGATCCCCATGATCCCAAAATGAACCAATGCGCTCCGAACCTAATCGAAATCGATTGCATTCCACAGCGGTGCCAAAATTAACTTCACTGGGTAACCCAATTGCTCTCGCCAGTGCAATAGACAAACTCCGCAACATTACATTGCACTGTTTCACTTCGTTGAATTGAACGACAGTGCGTTTTATTGCATTGTACGGCACACATTGCAAAGCGCGCCGATAATCTAACCTGCTCACTCTTGCTTCATTTCACTTCACCATTTTCGTCTTTTACATCCTTTTCGGACACAACACACTGCTTTTAGTGCAGATTCTAGGGCTAGGCTCCTTCTATTCAAACTCCTCAACTCCTCACATCTTCAGGCATTGGCGCAATCCAGGCTATTCTCTACAAGATCAGTGTTATATTTTAACACAACTTTTAGAGCAACACAATAGTACGGCACATAGCTTACGCTACTTTTATTCGGAAGCTGAGACATGAGAGCAAGACATTGTTGTTAGAAGCCCTTAGTGGCTAGTCTACACAAACTATATGTGCAAGAGAACAGCGCATCGGAGGTCCAGCACGAGAAGTCATCTTGACTTGCCACGCCTCTTCCGTACGCTCGACATTCGCGTCCCATCCACATCTCCGCCTCTATTCTCTGTTCCCTGAGCCAATCCCCTGAGCTAACAGAAGTCAGCTTCGACTTACCTGATCTCTCGACGATCCCCGGCGAGACGCTGTCGACTCCGACGGCCACAGTTCGTCGACAGCGACGATGGCTGGTGTGCGGGCTCCGACGTCGGCGCGCCGGCCGGGCCCACAGAGGGATATTGATTCTCCTCCCAGCCTGCCCCCAGACCTCCGACGACTGGGGAGGGGTGATGGGGGGGGGGGGGTGCCAGTCGGCTGAGGCTCCCTACAGGTGCTGGAGGGGGAGGTGGGGGGGGGGGTACGTGGGTGAGACGGAGACCCATCCGCCTCAGACAAGGATCGTTGGAATCAAGCGGAGCGCGTGGCGGGAACAAGGAGACTGAGAAGGAGACACACGCCAGGAAAGATATTAAAACGGAATGCAAAGAGAACAAAGGAAATACCGAGAACGTGTGGAGGAGATGGCAATGTTTGCTCAATATCATATTCTTTCAAATAAAACTACTTTGACATTAATAAGCAGTCTTAATAATGAAATATTCCTAAAATCACGTGCGCAGTAGACATCTTGTCATTAAGCAAACATTGTTGTGCGATGCCCAAATGACGACAAGGTTTCACCGCAGTGCATCTAGCAGACAGCAATAGTAAACCCATGTCAATTTTTGGCGGATTATCAAACCCAATTCACGCAGAAATGGTATTCCTCTCTCCCATTTTGCCTCTCGCGCGAGGGAGAATAGTTCTCCCTCTTTCTCCATCGCTCTCTCTCTCTCTCTCTCTCTCTCTCTCTCTCTCTCTCTCTCTCTCTCTCTCTCTCTCTCTCTCTCTCTCTCTCTCTCTCTCTCTCTCTCTCTCTCTCTCTCTCCCTCTCTCCCTCTCTTATGTCGTTTCCTGAACCTCGCCTTTTTCGTTCAAACAATAGCACTAGCCGTAGCCGGGGAGAGAAGTGACCTTGACATTTTGTCAGGTAATTCGGAGCTCGCGGGCCAGAGCAGAATAGCCGTTGGTACGGGACCGCCCGGGGTTTGACCGCTTGTGGTCCTGTAGCTAGCTGTCCTGACATTTAGTAGACGGGACTCCCCGCGTGCACGCTTTTACTGCACATAGTGGTGCGTAGGCGGCCGATAAAGGTAACTGTTAGTGAGAGTGTACCGATAGGTTAAAGGTTATTTTAGGCAAGGTCAATGGAAGTGACATTCGATGCAGGTTTGTGAGTGAATGGACATGTGTCTCTCTTGATTGAGTTTTGAAGATGTTTCTTACGCTTATATAACCGGGGATTAGGAATTCGTGAGAAGTTTTGATGTTCGGCGAGTGTTTGTTTTCATAAAACTTGTTGCAATGTAATGCTAGTGACGTTGATAATTTGGCAATTGGCATGGTGTAATGAATATAATAAAGTGACTGTTTTCTTCATTCAACTTTCAAGTTTCGATCTCAGTCTATTTGTTGGTAAGCAGTTAGGTACGCATACAGTTTTGTATCTACCTACCTGACCTGACCCTCCTAGCCAATTGCCGGAAGGATGATAGGAATTAGGGGGAGACATTGGTCTGGGCGATCACCCTGGTGAGTCGCCGGGGCTGAGCCCGTCCAGAGGACAGGCCATCCAGCCCCCCCCCCCCTTCCCAAACACTCACCGCACCCGTCTACGGGCATGCTCTGACGGGCAATCTCACATAGGATAAAGTCCACTGTCCAGCCCGGAGTAGGGGTTTGAGGCGTGAAGGAATCGGGATAATTACGATAACGCATAATTACGTAGGTACCAGTACCATACATAGACTGTTCGACGCGCGACAGAGGCGTAGGCGACTCCTCGTATTCTAAATATGTTCTCTGAGTGCTCTGATGTGAGTGCTGAGAATACTCTCGACGACTCTGTGACCATAGAGTTTTGCATCAGTATATAGAGGTCTATGCCATGACACATCATAACAAAAATGGAAGAAAAATACGAATATTTTTCAGAAAGCCTTTATGAGGCGTACTGGCTAACGCCGAAGGCCACTCAGCCAGCCACGCAGGGCCCTCTACAAAAGACGTGCACCGAGAGGTAGTGCTGCCACCTACGTACCGTCACAGGCCTGAAGTGCAAGGTGTCGTCTGTCGAGCTTCGCAGACGGCAGGGTCAGCACTCAGCACTGACTTGACCTAAAGTGGCCCGACCTTAACCTCACCTACATTAACCTTAGAAGGTCTCATTACCTTACCTGACCTGACTTGACCTGCGTCATGCCGGCTGCCTTGGGTTGGCGATGACCAAATGGCTAGCTGACCTGAGTTGAGCTTACCTTGTCTTTACCAAGACTGCGTTGTTTTTTTATAATCCCCGTAAGCGATCGTTGCAACTGCAAGTAACCTTTTGCCACCGAATACTTTAATTTTCGAGCCTTACCTACTCCTACCTACCGTAGTCCGGATGCCTATTGCGCCAGGGCAAGCGTAAAATGGAAGTGGAGTCTGGAGTCCCCATCGACCGGCCTTTCACTTTATTCTGTATTCCTGCAAATTCCTATCTGACAATTGATAAACCCAGGTAGCCCCACTTGACTTACCCCAACCAGCCCCCTCCCCACCACCCACCCCATCCCCATATCCACACACTATGTGTCTGCGCCCCCCCCCCCGTCAACTGTGGGGTCTGGTCTGGGCGGACATCCCGGATCGGAAAGCATTACTCATAACCAAGTCGGATGGGCAGCGAGGCCGTCTCCCCGTCATGACTTTCCAATCCTCCTATGACGTCATTCACTGTCCATCAATGACGTATAAGTGACGTCAGTGGCTCGCACAGCGGCGGAGCTGGTCACGACTCGAGGACGGTTCGCGGTCAGTTTCGTGTAAATGTTTATACTAGTAATGTGCGCCGGTCTCAGCTGCAGCGCTGAGGGAAGGCCGTAGTCGTGGTGGAACTCTGGTCGTACTGGAGATTCTGACTGTATAGAATTTGCACCGGAAATCGGTTCAAAAAGCTGCATACACACGGGCACGGCAAGCAGCCTACATCTTTCTCAATGATGAAGCGACTTTTGGAAAGTCAATCACCGTTTCTATTGGCTGCAGACATGATTTACTATAGGTATAACTTTTCTTAACACACCTATCTTAATAAACTAAGTCGGTACATGATGTACGCAGTGCAAACTATACCATTTATATTTCAGAAACCTAAGCCATCTAAGTACAATTTGCTTCATATTTCATTCTTATTTCAGAAAGCCAATAACAATGACCTCAAAACCTCATGTATTTAGGTACTGGTGGGCCCAAGGCTGCCACAATTTGCATCTCTCTGTCGCCAGTACCGCCACAGGCCGGAGCGGACGTGCAAACACCGCCAAAACCGGCTCTGTGCATAAACAGTGGGGCTACGCCACCGGCCGTCGCCAGTCGCCTACACCCTCCCCGTCGAGAGGCAGCGTCGCGCAGCGCGGAGCACGCTCTGTGACGTCAGACTGAGAATTTGCGCTACCGAGACAGACAGAAGGACAGTAGAAGAGTGAGGAGGCTGGAGGACTTGAGTTAGAAGGGCGACGGTGTGCGAGAAGGGACTAGAGAGACGTATTCGTTAGCGCAGTGTTCGCATCGTGAAAGGTGCCTTACGGTGAGGTTTCTCTGACTGGGCTCTGCAAGGTCGTCCGTCGCTTCATCTCTGTGGACGCAGCTCGTGGTAGAGAAAAGTGCGCTTCACTTATCGCGTGCCACGTTGTCCTCAGCCACGATGCGCCTCCTGCTGAGCACCTTCGTGGTGCTCTCTGTCGTCGCCACTGCTCGATCACAGTGTCTTTCTGAAGACGACAGCATCTCCAACATCACCATCGCACGCGATGCCTACGTTCGCGGTGCGCACGACTTCAGCTTGCGCCTGTTCCAGTCACTCTACTTCGGCGCGGAGACCGAGCAACGCAACCTCTTCTTCTCACCTCACTCGCTGTGGAGTGCGTTGACTCTCGCCTACATCGGTGCGGAAGGCGTCACGAAAGAAGCGATGGCCGAGGCAATGGGTGTGACCAATATCACGAAGGCTGAGGTCGTGGCAGCGTTCCGTGATATCACGGACAAAGATCGTCCAGCCGAAGGATGGCAGCCCGGTGATCCAGAAGAACGGCCCAACACTCTTCGTGTCGCCAACAGACTCTACTTTGACCGCACCGAGAACATCAGAGAATGCCTGAAGGAGCTGCTTCCTGGAGAGCTGGAGCTGCTTGACTTCTTGCATGCAAGTGAAGAGGCGAGGCTGTCCATCAACTCCTGGGTGGAGACGTTGACCGCAGACAGGATTCAGGATCTCATCCCTTCAGGAGCCGTGGATGCTCGCACGAGGATCGTGTTGGCCAACGCAGCCTACTTCAAGGGCACGTGGCTGTCGAAATTCAAGCCGCAAGACACGGGACTGGAACTGTTTTACTCGTCAGATAAGGACTTCACCTTTGTCAACATGATGAGTCAGAAGGGAAAGTTCAACTTCATGGTGTCGGAAGAGCTGCAGGCGCACATCCTGGAGCTGCCCTACCTGGGAAAGAACGTCACCATGTATGTGCTGCTGCCTCCCTTCGTGGATGGAGCTCTGGACCACACCGTGCAGAAGCTGACCCCTGAGAACTTCCAGAGCGCCATTCGTCGCATGTACCCGGTCGAGATTCGTCTCAAGGTTCCCAAGTTCCGTGTAGAGGAGAACTACGAAATGAGCGAGAAGCTGAGCGAGCTGGGCTTCGAGAACCTCTTCAACGCCTCGTACTCAGACCTCAGCGGCTTCTCAAACTCTGGAGGTCTGGCGCTGGATGCTGCCCTCCACAAGTCCTTCCTGGAGATCAACGAAGAGGGTGCAGAAGCTGCAGCTGCAACAGCACTGATCATCAACCGCTCCGGTAGACCCAAGCGTCCGAGGCAGTTCATCTGTAACCATCCGTTCATGTACGTCATCTATGACAAGGAGACCCAGAGCATGCTGTTCATGGGCACATTCGAGCACCCGAATGCCGCTTCGCTCTTCCTTGGAAAGAAGGTGTAAACGTCGAAACAGCGCGAGCGAATGAGGGGTCAACGGGTGAAGAAGCAAATAACGGTCAAGGAACTGGAAGACACGCGTGAATCAATATGTGTTTAGTGTAGACTGTAGAAATATGCACCAACCAGTTCAATGAGCTGCTAGATAAAGTCTGAAGCGTTTTGTTGTCTTCAAAAAAGGGTGTCATTAAAAATTGGGTCATTACCAATAGTGATCTGACATAATGATAACACTGTGTGTTTACGACGAGGTCACCTGAGGCAAAAATGATATGATGATATGAAAAATGATATGATAAAAAAAAGTTATAAATTTCGCAGCAAGAGTAGTATCAGGAAGACGAAAATATGACCACATTTCTGATTGTATCGATTCATTGGGCTGGCTACCGGCCCAAAAGCTCGTCAATTACTCGGACCTGTGCCTTCTGCACAAGATCTGGGGAACAGGACAGCCGGATTCAATAGCTCAGTACCTTCACACTAATCGCGACAGAACGTTACGTGACACGCGCACATCGAACTATCTTAGCTTGCCACGTGTAAAAACGAATCATGGAAAGCGTACTTTTATTTACCGATCTGTTACACTGTACAATAAGCTTGTTATAGCCGAGGGTGCAGACAGACTTACGCTGAGCCAATTCAAAAAGCACCTAAAGCTTTCTAGATTACAATGATCATAGCTCGGAGAAGGTGATTTTTAGCTGTTTTATCAGGTGTCGCAGTATTTGATTTTAACAGTGTTGTGTGTTGTTCGTTATGAAGTGTTTACTGACAACGACCAGGGAATAGCCCATTTTATGCGGATCTGGTTTGCTACTGTGACAATAAACAATAAATAATAAATGTCTTCTGGCATGCCATATCGTTGCTGTCTGCCCCTACATAGGAATCAAAACAATCTCTCTTGCGATATTGCTGAACCACTAGCGACAGTGCAGACCTGAGTGTAGATTGGACTTTTTGACGGCGATGACATTCTTTACACAAATGAATACTCTTTTCATACCGCATTTGATGACTTTGCTACTGGCCACGGTAATGCAAGTGCTGCTTGTCTTGTAAATGTATGATGCGTGTGCCAGAGGAAAAATGTCCGTTTAGAGTGACGATGGCGGGTCAATACAAAACATTAGAATATATGCATTCATGTATCATATTTTTTCCTCAGATGGTGTAATTGCGCAATCCATTTTACTAAACGTAAGCCACTATGCATTATGCAAGCACTCAGAGATAAATAAAAATGATGATAGGTGAGAGATTCGAGCCTCCTTCATCAACATGAACTGATTTAAACGAACGGAAACCCAAGGAAGCTGAAAAGACGCAACAAAAATACACACCGTCATACTCACCTCGCCGACATAACACGAAGACGTTAATGTTTTTTTTTTGCTCCCAGTTTTTGCAGTGCAGTGTGTTGACGGCTGTAGGTATGACATTTTAGGAATGCCTGAGGTTGAAAGTCAGCAAAATCTATGAGCACTATGACGCAATCTGTGTCAGGCTTGTGAGTCGTTATATGTCCGGATGTTGCGACATTTTTCGCTCCTTACATCTCCTACGCAGTGTCGTCCAGTGACCGTCTTCCGCAATAACTGTATCCGATTGCAACTAGTTTGTGACGTCTGTAGCACGCCGGTCAATAACCGTTTAATCATTTCGTATATCCTGGTTTTCATGACGTGTTTATTGATATCTCCGGAGAGTATTTATCTCCTATCTCCGGAGAGTATTTAAAGTATTCATACGTTGAAAGTAAAAGAAATATAGGCATGATTATTTTAATGTCTTACGCCCTTTCGCTCCTAATAAAGGAGCGAAAGGGTGTTTCGCTTTCGCTCCTATGAACCTTTAAGGGACATGTTAGCCCAATTTTTAGGATTCAGGTCAATCGGTGACCTCTGAGGTCAGGTCAATGACCCCATAGCTGGAGTTATGCTTTTGGTGAATAACCTTGTCAGAAACAGTAGAGCAACCACGGGCGTCGTTTTTTATAGGCTTGGTAGGGCCCCAGCCCATCCGATAATTTCGGAATATCAACATTAGTCCTATGGCAATAGCATCCCATGATAAGAATGACTTTGGTATCCTAAAATCAAATAAGAGCCCTACCAATAACTTCCGAAAAATCATAAAATGCCTCCTGTGAGATCGACAATCTATCAATCTCAACAACAATCTCAACAATCAACAACCAATCTCGGTGCCATCAACAATCAACATCTCCGGGCTAGCTAGCCCAACAGCGTCGAATTATAAAATAATTTTATTTGGGAAAGATGAGGTAAGGCTTGATTTGACTTGAGTTTAGGTCAGATCAAACAACTCAGTTCAGGAAGCAAGTGTAAAGCAATGCCATACTGCATCGGATCAATGAAAACATAACATTTCCTGGCATTGAGAACGTTGATTGCGGCGCGTTTCCTATTAAGAGGCTCACTGGCTCACGATATTATAGGTCAGTGACCTGACCAGTGACCTGGAAATGTGGTTAGTGTAGAAAAATTCACCATTCGGTACATTGGAGGAAGCATGTTACGTCTCCCCTCCGATCCGCCCTCGGTAAAATTTGCATCACTACGTCTACATCAAGGCTATCTACATACACTTGACGCTACAGCTGCGACATCTGTCGCCTAAGCAGCTACCGTCATGCAGACACCTAGCGGCAATTTTCTGAACCATCTCCTTCCACCTGGCCGCTAGGGGCGCTAGTATCGCCAGGTGCGCGTGCTTGCCGGCGAACAAAGGTGAATCGCCTGGGGCGCCGCGTGCCGCGACCGGCCGCGTCAGTCGCGAACCGGGCGCCGAGTGGGGGCGACGCCGCGCGTGCCGAGCGCGGCCCGCCGGTGAGACTGTGAGTGCCGTGGCCTGTCTAACTGTGAGTTGAGTGTGAGAGTGAGTGCTGCCACGTGAGTGTGAGTTCTGCCATGGAGGCGGCACCGGTCGCCGGTGTCAGAATTCAGCGGCGATGGTTCGGTGACCTTGTGAGGAACCGGCGGCGTGCGGAGATGGGGCTGAGATGGAGGGCGCCCGCGACTCTGCTGGTGCTACTGCTGGCGTCGGCCGTGGATTCAGCAGGTGAGTTCAACTAAAAATGAATTCCAGCCCTGCCCTCCCCAGCCAGCAAAACATTCGTTCTGTTCTGGTTCTGACTTCTGGTCTGGTTTAGACCTACCTGATCAGCCTCGGCTCATGAGGATTAATGAGTGAGGACTGAGCCGCTGAAGGTCCTGACAATGGTGGAATTAATGTTTCTGTTGATGCTAGTGAGGTGCTGCGCTAGTGTGGCTGGTTCCTGATAAATGCCGGCTGGTGAATGGTGATGTTGATTTTTGATGCACCGGCGCCGATGTAGTGTTCACGGCGCTGTGCGCTGTGAAGGGGGGTAGCCTTCATGCCCCCCCCCCCGTAGCTGACAGTTCATCGGTGCTGGTTTGACGGTACAGTTTGTATCTGGGTGGGACTGGGCTAGGACTACTGACAGTAGACTAGACACCCAACTTGACAGGAGGATGACACCGCTCCGTGAAAAGTGAAACAGTTCCCAGCATACCTACGTCGAACCGAGTTCCTAATTTACATCAGAAAACCTGCTCCAAAGAGCTGTTCCGTTGGTGCCCAGCGTACAATTTTTATCAACCACTCTGATCACCTGCGATCTTTTCTATCCCTGACATTTGGCACTGGCACTGGCACAATTCTCGTCATACCAGCTCCCTCACTTGTTACAGTTATCGATGCAGGAAGCGTCTGAGTCGCATGCGTTGCAGGCCACAGGACGTTGCTGAAATGCGTTGGCTGCTTCTCGCATGCGGCATGCCTAACGCTCAACACTATTTTTTTAATTTAGTCTTCCCGGCATGCCTATTGCCTAAGGCAACCGCCAGGGAAGGGGAAATGACCGTTACTGGAATGGTGATCATGTTATTTACCGTTTAGGCAAGTCTGCTAGTTGCTATGGCGTTAATTAAGCCGGTGTCATTATTGTTTTTCTTGCACCGAAAAGTGAAATCAACAGCCTTCCTCAATCGTCCGTTGCTTTGGCGTCTTTCCTCATTATTGTCACCATGCGCTTCATGACCCAACACTTCCTCTCCTTACCCCTCCCTCCCCATGCCTGTGCGTTCCAAAGGCACCGCAGCGCTCAGTTTCAAAATAAAAACTAGTACTGGCCACAGGGGCGACACTTTCCGAAAATTATTGGTAGGGCTCTAATGTAAATTTTTGCCAATTCAAAGCCATTCTTTCCACGCAACGCCATAGGCATAATGTTAAATTTCCAAAATTATTGGTAGGGCTCGGGCCCTACCATGCCTATACAAAACGACACCCATGACTGGCCAACCGTCCGTCAGGCGGGCCACGTTTCAAATCTAGCCCCCCCCCCCCCCCCCCGGCCGGAAAGCTGTAACGGGTCGCGCACAGTCTAACCAGCTGTTGTGGGGTATCACTCCCCCCCCCGTCCCCGTCTGGTCTGGATTCCCCGCACAATTCACATGCACGAGCACCAAAAACCCCAGCGGCGTTGCGGCGCGTCCGGCCGTCCGGCCGCTGTTTTCACAGACATCCGTTGTGGAGCCCCCCGCGAAGCCCGGGCGGCTCTGGCTTGGACGCGTCCAAAGCCGGCGTCGGACGCTCGCGCCGCGTATCGCGTGCCGCCGCGGGCGAGGCCGGGCAGGTGACCAGGGGCCGGCGGTTGGAGCGTTTGTTCCGCACCCCAGCACGGGACTTTGACCCTTGTTGACGAGAGGGTGGTGTGCGCGACGCACCGGTAAAGTGATGCGGGATTTATTGAGCGGATACGGTCGATTTCCGCCTGCGTCTATGGCTGTTAGTGCTCGCGCTTGCCTTTGGTTTTGCCCTGTGGGTCTGCATACGAGAATTATGTTTAGTCGATGCTGATTTGGGCTGTGTAATTGGAAATTAGAGGGTAGGTGTTTCAACAGTGGCACGAACTAACACGGGCACCAACCGTAAAGTCGTGGCATGAATAAGGCAGAAAATTGTGACTCTTTGTTCTTTTATGCGTATACATAAGGCTAGCGCGCTGTTCCTTATGGTTATCGTCTATCGACCACGCTGTTCCTATTGCAATATTTATTATTCCTTTGTTTGCTTGTGCCGCATTTCCCTTCTGGCCCATCACTTGCTTACCTTTCTTTAACCTGCCTATTTCCCTTCATCCCTGCTCCTTTTCCTCTTTCCATCTTTGCCCAATGCGTCCTTTAGATGAAACTCTGAAGTTCATCCTCGATTTAGGCGGACTCGAGACACTGACAATACTTTGACTCACTTTGACTGTAGGATCGGGCTCGAGGTTAGGGCCCATTCATGGTCCCACGGCTCGAGGGCCGACCGTGCCCGACCCAGCCCGACTCGGCCCAGTGCGACCCTCCCAAAGACCCTGAACTACCATCAAACCATGAATGCTCTTGTGTCTCGTAAATTGCGACACTTCGAAGGCCACCCTGACTGGTGCCCCGTATTCGTCTCCTGTCGCCACGTGCTGAAACGTGTTCGCCACGTGGTTACCACGTGTGGCTCCGTGACCGACCTTTCAAGGAAGCATCACCCCTTCACATTGCCGTCAAGGTTTATTTGCATTGTGAAGTCATGTTACAGTTATCAATGTGTCAAGAACAAATGTCAACGTGTCTGATAAAAGATCTTACAAACCGATAGATGATAAGTGGGCTCCTTTTTTGAAAGCAAATCGAAGTAAATATTTGAGAAAAGGATTTGAGATGTAGAAAGAGGGGCTCATAAAAAAGCATCAGACTGTTGGTTACCCAAATATATGATGTCATCAGTTGTGATTGCCTAAAATGTACTGACTTTTTTCTGGCTCCCTTTTTTATCTTGGTATCCACGCTGCGCTTTTGGAGTAGGTACAGTCGTATGGTGTATTCACTCTACTTTCGTCTGTTTCGTTCCCCCTCAAATGAAGCCATTTCTACTCACAACTAATCAGCGTACAGTGTTGATATGAGGGTAGACTGGCGCCCCTCTTACTCCACTTCCCCTCGCACTCCTTTCCCTCCCCCTCATCCGGTGCCGGGTCAGATTTCCTGGCTCTTTGCCAACCGTTTTTTTTTTCACCGCCCCGTGCGGCGAGACGGATGTCACGTGACCGCCACACGCTCTGTGGTGGACGGGGGGGGGGAGGGGGTGAATAGTCCACCAGCTGGGTAGTTAGCCCGAGGCTCCATGGATGTTGGACAGAGTCAGTTCAAAAGGAAGCGTTGAAGGTAATCGTTTCCGTTATTGTTACCGTTCCTTTTTATGTAAAAAAGGTGTGCTTTCGTCAAATTTCAGTTCATGTAGATTCTGTCTTCTTGATTCCTGAATGAGAAGGAGTTTCTATTAAAATGATTTTCTCATCGTGTTGCATGATTGCACACGAAGATGCTTTGGTGACACGTCTCTTGTTGGCTCGCTGGGTCGCAGACTGCGTCGCGCCCCTCCTGTCCTCCCATTGGCCACCCAGGGTGGCACGTCCGCCCCCCCCCTCCTGTCAACTGCACTGCCCCCCAAGCGCGCACTAGACTGGGTGACTGTAAATATTTACCATTGCGTATATACAAGGTGCGTGGTGCGTATAAACGGGGCTGTAATGCGACTCGGTATGGTGGCTCTGCAGCGTTCAGGAATGTCAAGGGACCTGAGGTCATAGTGTACTGAATGATATTTGATGACTTTGCTGGGAAATTTCCCGTAAAATTCGTCAATGGTTTGCTTGGTAATGTTTTTTTTTTTTGGCGAATAGTTTATTTTGCTGTAACACTTCATCAATTGTTTGCTGGGGAATGTTTTTTTTTTGGGGGGAGGGAGGGCGAATAGTTTATTTTGCTCTGATATATGAAATATTTGCTGTTTGTTTCCAAAGTGACTGTTTGTTCTTGAAATAAGAAGCTGGAGAAAAACCTACATTGTACGATGATTGGGGTTCCTCCATTTGTTTATGGTTAGTTTGTTTCTGGTCTTGAGCTGCTCTGTTCAAGCGCTCCCGTTGACAGGTGTTTGTGAGCAGAGAGATCACGTTGTTTGCGCCGCGGTAGGCGAGGTTAACTGTTGAGTTTCGGGGTGGGGTTCCGTCGTTCTCGGGTAGAAATAGCTCGTCAGTTTGTTTTCAAAGACTCCGTCGACTGCGCTGGAACTGATCGCGAACGTTGCGAAACTGGCATCGTTCGCATACTTTGATGGCAGCTCGTGTGCAGAAGGGTAAACTCTGGCTGCTGTAGAGATTATAAACGCGCCACTCCCCCTGACTGTTATCATTTGATCTGTCCCTTGAGATGCAATATATTGACATCTTGTGGTAGGCATAACCTTTTCACAAATCAATAGTAACAAGTAGTTCAGAAACCTTTCTTTGACGGAGAAGAGATGCATCAAATCGCTGGCTGATAAATACGTGGTACAGATGATAAACTCCATGAGCAGCGAATGGACCCTGATCAAACAAATTTATTATTGATAGCGAACTCCATGTATTACACTGAACCTCTGGCCGGGAGGCCAATGCTTACTCTCGGCAGCCTGACCTCGTCTGTCACTCTCGCTCTCTGTAGGCAGTCACTCTCACTGCTCTCTCCTCGGGAACTCACTCTCCTCTCCTCGGGAAGTCACTCCCTCCTCTCCCCGGGCGGCACTCTCACTTGTCTAACCTCGCCGGGTGGTGGCTGCTGTGACCTTGGAAGGTCATCGGCTCATGGCTCTCGCCTCGTCGGCTCTGCTCTCCGCTCTGGTCTTCTCTGCTCTGTTCTGCTTTGTTGTCCTGTCATCTGCTCTCCTCTCTTCTCTATTCTCTCCTCTTTTCTCTTCTGTAATCTCTCTCTCTCTCTCTCTCTCTCTTTCCCTCCCTCTCTCCTCTCTCCTTTTGTCTTCTCGCCTCTTGCCACTCGCATCTCACTGCTCCACCTGGCCACCCCTTCTCTTCCTCCTCTCCCTCTTCCTCCTCTTTTGCTGTTTATTGCTGTTTGGGCTTTTCTTTCTGGATATCATGAATATCAAACTTATTATCGTCGCGGTCGCACCACCACAGGACCTTGACCCTTCGGTCACCTGCTGGCTAGTTC